AAAACACGGGCATGATAAGACTAAGCATGATTACATTAGGCAGAAAATGAGAGAAGTCGGTAGGTTAATTAACGAAGCAAAAACCGCAGGGAAACTGAAAACAATTATGGATTTCTTTATTCCTTCCAACTTTAACCATGTGATTGATGCAGTCAGGTCTGTGGCTGGATATGATGAGGAAACAAATCAATACAAGACTCCATCCTTGGCCCTCAAACTCGGCCATAGCCTCAGAAAGCTAGCAGATATTCTTGAATGTGACTCAAAAATGGAGCATTGTGTTGATGAACTATTTATTAAAAACCTCCAACGAAGCCGGCTGCTTTTTGAGAAGAGGTGGGACGTCTGTGTTTCTTCTGCTGCCCTACAGACCCTCCGGCAAGCCAAGTGGAACACTCCGGACCTGCTCCCTCTGACTGAGGACGTTAGAGCCATGCATGCACATATTGAGGTATGTCGACCTGAATATGTGCAAACCCTAATAAGTTAGCCAACGTCTAAGCATTGGTCTAAACTGGCAGTTTTGACTCTTTGTGAGGTCATCATTTTCAATCGAAGAAGGGAAGGTGAGGTTTCAAAGATGCCACTGACAGCCTTTACCTTAAGAAGTAAGACTGGGATCCATTCTGACATTGCTCTGGGACTGTCCCAACTTGAGAAAAAGCTGTGTCAGCATTTTCAACGCATTGAAATTAAAGGGAAAAGAAGTCGGAAAGTGCCGGTTCTTTTGACTCCTGAAATGATTGCTTCGATGGAGGTGCTGGTGGAGAACAGAAGGGCCTGTTCCATCTCTGACCATAACCCATACTTCTTTTCCCGCCCGGGCGCAGACACCCACATCAGGGGATCAGACTCCCTACGCAGGTAGCCAAAGAATGTGGTGCGGTGCATCCAGAGATGCTATCCTCAACCAAACTTAGAAAGCACATAGCTACTATGTCTACAGTTCTCAATATGAAAGAGAATGAGATGGACATACTTGCCAACTTCCTCGGCCATGACATTCGCATCCACAGGCAATATTACAGACTACCAGAGGGGACACTGGAGCTGGCCAAAATCAGCAAAGTGTTGATGGCCATGGAGCAGGGAAGAGTGACGGAATTCAAAGGAAAGAGCCTCGACCAGATACAAATTGAGCCTGAAGGTAATTCTTGATATTATTAAAATATGTATGATTTTTTTCCCCTAAAGGCCACTTGTATTTTTATTTTCTGTGCGACAGGGAGAGCAGTAGAGATCCTCTCACAAACGGACGGGCTAAAAGAAACTTCAAGCGGAGAACCTTCAACCATTCATCCAGATGCACCCCATGGTAGTGGCAGTGCCCCTTCTGGTAAGTGTACCAGGTGGGGGATTACAGCCAGGCTGCTTGGTCCTCACCCTGGGAGTGTATATTGCTAATATATTTTTATTTCTCTCCCTAGAACGTGTAAGAAGGCCATGGTCTGCATCTGAGGTGAAGGCTGTGGAGAAGACCATGAAACCTTTCATACAGACTGGAAAGGTCCCTGGGAAGTCTCACTGCCTGGCCTGCATTAATGCCTCACCAGATGACCTTAGACATCGGACATGGAGTGGCATTAAATTCTATGTCAAAAATAGAATCACTGCAATTCGAAAACAAAATCTAAAATAAAATTCCTTTAAAATAGTTGTTTGGTTTCTATTGACTGCTTTGTATTACTTAAAGTAGTCCCAGTAAAAAAAGATTATGTCTATGGGTCCCATTCTGAACGGCCCTGTCAAAGGGACCCACCAGGTAACAAAAACGTGTGTGTGTGTGTGTGTGTGTGTGTGTGTGTGTGTGTGAGAGAGAGAGAGGATTGTGTGTGTGTGAGAGAGAGAGAGGATTGTGTGTGTGTGTGAGAGAGAGAGAGGATTGTGTGTGTGTGTGAGAGAGAGAGAGAGGATTGTGTGTGTGTGTGAGAGAGAGAGAGGATTGTGTGTGTGTGTGAGAGAGAGAGGATTGTGTGTGTGTGAGAGAGAGAGGATTGTGTGTGTGTGTGAGAGAGAGAGAGGATTGTGTGTGTGTGTGAGAGAGAGAGAGAGAGAGAGGATTGTGTGTGTGTGAGAGAGAGAGAGGATTGTGTGTGTGTGAGAGAGAGAGAGGATTGTGTGTGTGTGTGTGAGTGAGAGAGAGAGTGTGTGTGTGTGAGAGAGAGAGAGAGAGAGGATTGTGTGTGTGAAGAGAGAGGAGAGAGTGTGTGTGTGTGTGAGTGTGGAGTGAGAGAGGATGTGTGTGTGTGTGTAGAGAGAGAGGAGAGTATGTGTGTGTGTGTGTAGAGTATGTATGTATGTGTGTGTAGAGTATGTGTGTGTGTGTGTAGAGTATGTGTGTGTGTGTGTGTGTAGAGTGTGTGTGTTTGTGTAGAGTATGTGTGTGTGTTTGTGTAGAGTATGTGTGTGTTTGTGTAGAGTATGTATGTGTGTGTGTGTGTGTGTGTGTGTGTGTTTGTGTAGAGTATGTGTGTGTTGTGTAGAGTATGTGTGTGTTGTGTAGAGTATGTGTGTGGTTGTGTAGAGTATGTGTGTGTGTTTGTGTAGACACTATTAAACCTGTTGATACGTTTGGACTTGGTGAGTTTGAAAACAAAGTCCAGCTTAAACCTGACTCTGACATTTCAGAAACTCAAAGTGAAAGTAAAGGTTTGACAGTCGGTCCTCTCTTTTGAATGTCTTTTGTAAAAGTCGCTTCATGGAACTTCTGTGGGAATGAATCCACATGTTTCCACTTCAGTGTTTGTCCAGAAGAGAACAATGTTTTCAAGAGTCCAGTGGGTGAGAACAGAAAGTCACTGAGGGGCTTGTGGGGTCAGAGCGTTTATCCAGGAAAGATTAGTAAAGCTGGTAGACCCTGAGTGTGTTCTCTATTAGTGAACAGAGACTTTACATCCATAGTAACAAGCAGAGGCTCACACACTCTTCCATTTGTAAAAGAACGTGTGTAGAATCTTGTAGAAATGATGCTAAAGAGCTCGTGAAGGGCTTCATGAAGAAATCCATGTATTTTCTGCAGGTTAAGCCAGATTCTTATGCCTCTACCTGGAATCAACACAAAAGATCAAATGTTTATTAAAAACAGCCTTTTAGACTATGAACACAGATACACTGTAATCAATGAGTGACATTACAACCGTAGCCCACAAGGGGGCGCTCTAACTCTATAAATGGTGTTACGTGGAACTTTATAATGAAAAGGCAAACTATATGTGTAGCAGAAACGGGCTGTTCTAAACTATACACACACAGACACACATATGTACATTATCCACATATAGCAGGGCTTATTATGGAGTGCTCCTACAGTCATGCACGTGGCGCACCACGTGTTGTAGCTACAAGGAGGAAGCGGACATTAAAGTATATAAATGGAGCATAAATATAGATTGGCACATGGTACTCACTTTGCATAGACGCACACAGAACTTATACACACAGGATTATTGATGGTTGGCATGACGCACGCGCACAGGCTCCGCCCCTAACACTGTAAAGAACAGCTCTGAACATGGCTACGGGAGACCCTGGGGAACTACAATATTAACAGGTGCATCATGGGAAATGTAGTGACAGACATTTAACAGTGATATTTGTCACAATTCAATATTATTGAGATTCTTACAATATTCGACAGTTTTGTGATTTGATTCTGTGATTGATTGTGATTCATGTCCTTCATATTATTCAAAGACTTTACAAACATGGAGGAAAAAAATACTCAACTCAAATGTCATTTATTATGATCTGTTCTTGAAAACGTGAACAATGAACAATCAGGACACAGGAACTAATTACAGACACAACAAACCAACATCATAGAGTCACAACAAGGAACAGAAAACAAACATGAAAATGAAACACTGAACAGAATGGATTCTTTCCCCAAACCAGGAGTTAAGACTGAAGTGAGATCCTGTAGAGTCTGACTCTGGGTTCACAGGATGCAGCCTCAGCTCTGTCTCCTTCACTTTGGTCCAGATGCTTCAGACCTGCTTCAGACCTGCTTCTCTACAGGTTTTAATGTGTCTAGTAAGAGAAATCCTATGAGTAAAACACTTTTCACACTTTTCACAGACAAATGGTTTCTCTCCAGTGTGGATCCTCTGATGATCTTTGAGAGAACCACTCTGAGAAAAACTCTGACCACAATCGTCGCAGCTGAAGGGCTTCTCTCCATTGTGGATTCTTTTGTGCTGGTTAAGACTACCTCTTTGGGAAAAACACGTTCCACACTGGTCACACTCGTACGGCTTCTCTCCAGTGTGGCTCCGATGGTGACATGTGCGCTCTGTTCCAGTTTTAAAGGTTTTACTGCAGAAGTCACATGCAAATGGCTTTTCTCCAGTGTGGATTCTTTCATGTGCTTTGTAGGTGGAAGACTGAGTAAACGTCTTCCCACAGTCTCCACAGACGAATGGTTTATCTCCAGTGTGGATTCTGTAGTGCTCAGTGAGGACAGATAAACGTGTAAAAGTCTTTTCACACTGGTCACATTGGTGAGGTCTCTCTCCTGTGTGGACATGCTGATGTTGTGAGAGCTGACGTTTGGTCCTAAATGTTTTTTCACACTGGTCACACTCAAATGGTTTCTCTCTTGTGTGGATCCTCTGATGATCTTTGAGATGACCCTCTTGTCTAAAACTCTGATCACAATCGTCGCAGCTGAAGGGTTTTTCTCCAGTGTGGATTCTGTTGTGGACCTTGAGATCTCTTTTTGTAGTAAAACATGTTCCACACAGATCACACTCGTATGGTTTTCCTCCAGTGTGAGTTCTGTGGTGTCTCTTTAGATCAGAAGCAGAGCTGCAGGTCTTTCCACACTGATCATCTGGGCCCGCCGAGGTGCCACGGGCCGACCGGCCGCGCCCCGCAGGTGAACCCCATTCTGTAGATGGACTTTGTAGATCTGCAACAAATCCCCCCGGCCCCGTCGGCCCCCTGGTCCACACCGGGGCGCCCGATCGCGCTACCCCCTCGTCCCCTCCGCGCTGTCAAGCATGCAGGGTGCCTCCCACCCCCGGGCCCCCTCCGCTACGCTTGGGGGGTGCCGCCGCTCGCGCCATCGCCCCCGCCACACCTACCCCGGCCGCGCCGGGCGCTCGACTCCCGACCCCCACCAAGCACTCAACCAGCGCCGGCCAGCCCCGGTCAGTCCAACGCACAGAACACGCGGGGGGACGACGCGCCCCGTCGCCCCACCGGGGGTGGGGGTGGGAGTCACCCACCCACAGGCGCCTGCACAAAACTGGCGCCCCAGTCACACCCGACCCTCCCGCGCAGGGCGCCACCACTTGTCCCACCCCCCCGCGAAGCCGGCCGCGCCCCCCGTCCGCGCCCAGCGCCCCCGCGCCCCCCCCTCACAGCCCGCCCCCGGGGGTGTGTGGTTGGGGGCTCTGTCCACCCCCTCCGGCGTCACGGGACGGGCCCAACAAGGGTGCGCGGGGCCCCGGCGTCCCGGGGCCCCCCCTTTCCGGCCCCCTCCCCCCCGGCCTGAACGCCTCTCCGCCCTCCGGGGGGTGGAGGGGGCCCCGACGGCCGCCCGGTCGCCCACGCGGGGACAACAAGAGCGTATCCCCGCGCCCCGTCTCCGGGGCCCCCGGCACCGACCCCACCCACGCGGCCCGGGCGCATGGCCCACCGTGAACCCACCACCCCCCCGCGGCGGGACGCACAACCCAAGGTCGCACCGGGGCCCCCAAGGGGGGGTGGCAGGCGGCTGCTCCTCGCATGCATCCCCCGCCGTCCCGACGGGCCGCGCCGCCCCACGCCGGGCCTGGGCTCCGCCCCCCCCTGCGCCCGTTCCCCCCGTTCCGGCGGTCCCGTGGCCACCCCACCCGCCCTTCCCCCCGTTCCCCCTGTCGCCACCTGTCCCGCTCTCCCCTCCGCCCCCCCTATCGTCCGGGCGCTCCCTGCCCGTGCACTCCCCGGGTGGTCCCGCCGCCGTGGTGGCTTGCCCCCCCCCCCGGCTAGGCCACTGGGCTAGCCTGGGGGGGGGGGGGGGGGGGGGTTGTCACACCCGCGGGCCGTGGCACCCCGACCCCGCCGCTACCCGGATGCCCGCCGTCGGCCCCAGCCGGCCCACCCCCGGGGCGGGCAGCGGCCGGCGCCGCTCCCGGTGCATGGCCCTCGACGCCGCGTTCCCGTTTCAACCCCGCACCCGCCGCGCCGCCCGCCCCCCGCCCCGAGGTGGCGTCCTCCCCCCGCCACCCCCGCGTGGCCTCGCCTCTTGCGCGCCGGCCGACCCCCCGCGCCCCCCCCCGGGCCCGACCTCGCCGCGCCCCCACTGAGTGCCCCATCCCCGCCGCCACCGGCCCTCCCCGCCGGGCTCCGCCGGCTCCCGCGCCCCCCCGCCCCCGCCCCCCGACGCCACCGTCTCCCCGCGGGCCGCCCCCCCGCTCGCTCCCGGGGACCCCCCCCCCGCCCCGCGCGCCCCAGGGTCCCCCTCACCCCCCTTGCACTCCCCCTAGCAACGCGAAGCGCCCTCATCCCCGCGCCGAACCCGGCCGCGACACGGCCCGCGACCGCGCTGCCCCACCACGGTTAATCCCCGACGCATGCTCCTGCCCCCCCCAGCAACCCGTCTGCCCGGCTCTCCGCAACGACAAGCCCGGGCACGCAGCGCCCCCCGCCCCCCCGTCCCCCCCGACGGCGACCCCGAGCCTCACCCGGCAGGGCTCCCTGCGCCGCCGGGGTACCCGCCGCACGCCCCCCCCCTGCTGTTGCCCCCCAGCACCTACGTCCCCACCGGCCCACCGCGTGCCACATGCCACCGCCGTGGTGCCAGGGCCCCCCCCCTGTGGGCACAGATCCGCACTTGTCGCTGGAACGCGGGACCCACCCGCCCCGCCGCCCGGCAGGCCCCCGGCCTGGCCCCCGGGCCCACTACTTGAAGACCCTCCAGCGTTGGGCACCCCCCCCGTCCGCCGCGCCCTCCTCAGTCTCGTTTAGGGGGCCCCCCCCCGGCCCCCACTCTCCCCCATTACCGGCCACCCCCTCTTACCACGTTCTCCCCTTGCATTACCCCCTCCCTCATGAAGCTCCCCGAGGGCGCCTCCCGTCCCCGACAACTCCGTCCGGGCGTCCCACCCACTCTCCCCCGTCGCTCCCTTCCGGTGCCCCGTTTCCACGGGCCGCCGCCGCGGCCCCCGCCCCCCCCATCCGGGGGTGCCGCCCCCTCCCCCGCCCCCTCCCCGGCCCCCGCCCGCGCGTCTCCCCGCCGCCCGGTCCCCCCACCCGTGGCCCCCACCTAACCCCGGTCTATGTCGAAGCACACCCATGCGCACAGCTGTGGCAACTTATTCCGCCTCCCGCCCGACCCGGCACCCGCTGTCGCCTACGCCTGCACACCCTCCCGTTAGCCCCGTGGCCGCGGGGCCCCGCGCCCGCGATAACGCGGTAGGAGGCGGCCCCAGTTCCCCCACACCGCGCCCCCCCGCGCGGGGCCATCCCCCATCCTGGCCCGGCCGCCCGTCCCCCGGGCACCTCGCCCCGCCTCCCACCGACGCGCCTGAACCCCCGTCTCCCCCCCCGCCCAACCCGCCCGAGCGCGCCGCCTCCTGCCCCCGCCACGGGTCCCGCCCCCCCTGGACCCCCGCACCCGCCACCACCCTGGCCCCCGCCCCCGTGGCCCTGTCCACCCCCCAGCGACGCCCCCCGCGCCCCAGTCCAACGCCCACCCTGGCCCGCGTAGCCGGCGGGGCGCGTCGCTGCCCTCGTTGCCCTCCGTCGCCCCGCCCCGCCCGTCCCGCCACTTTAGCACCCCTGCCCCCCCCCGCCCGGAGGCCCGCCCCATGTTGTGGTGTGGGGGCCGTCGCTGCGTACCCCTGGCCCGGTCCAGACCGCACAGACACGGTGCGCCCGACGCCACGGACACGCGTGACCTGAAACCCCGGCCCGCTCCGCCGCGTCCCACCGCCCGCCGCATCGACGGCGGCTACCCTCCTCACGCGCTCCCGTGCCCTGCCGGCAGCCCCCCGACCCGCGTGTCGCGCTCCCCCCGCCGCCATCCGCACCCTGCAGACCCGGCCGCCAAGCCGTCCACCGTGACCCACCCCCCCCAGCCACCCCGCCCTAACACCGCGCAACCCAAAACGTCCCCCGTAGCACCCCCGACAACAGACAACCCAGCAATACAGGGAACAGAGTGCCCAGTTAGTTCAATCCAGTGAGTTTTTGCACTGGTTTATAGACTGTGGGGCATTGCTTAAGCGAAAAGTCGCTGTGGAGGCATGTGGCCAGGTGCCGGCTTTCACAGAAAGATGCCCAGGCTAAACCAGCTAAAACCCAGTAAAGTAGGGTCCAGTCCCTCTGCTCCCTACCCAGCCTGTACCGGAGGGCATCAGCGAAAAAGCTGTGGTCTTTAATTTGGGCATGCATCAGGATGAGGTCACGGTTTGTTGTCAAAGCAGAAAAAGGGATTCTGAGACTCCGAGAGCACCTGTAACTTAAAACACGGGCATGATAAGACAAAGCATGATTACATTAGGCAGAAAATGAGAGAAGTCGTAGGTTAATTAACGAAGCAAAAAACCCGCATGGGAAACTGAAAACAAGAAGGATTTCTTTATTCCTTCCTACTTTAACCATGTGATTGATGCAGTCAGGTCTGTGGCTGGATATGATGAGGAAACAAATCAATACAAGACTCCATCCTTGGCCCTCAAACTCGGCCATAGCCTCAGAAAGCTAGCAGATATTCTTGAATGTGACTCAAAAATGGAGCATTGTGTTGATGAACTATTTATTAAAAACCTCCAACGAAGCCGGCTGCTTTTTTGAGAAGAGGTGGACGTCTGTGTTTCTTCTGCTGCCCTACAGACCCTCCGGCAAGCCAAGTGGAACACTCCGGACCTGCTCCCTCTGACTGAGGACGTTAGAGCCATGCATGCACATATTGAGGTATGTCGACCTGAATATGTGCAAACCCTAATAAGTGAGCCAACGTCTAAGCATTGGTCTAAACTGGCAGTTTTGACTCTTTGTGAGGTCATCATTTTCAATCGAAGAAGGGAAGGTGAGGTTTCAAAGATGCCACTGACAGCCTTTACCTTAAGAAGTAAGACTGGGATCCATTCTGACATTGCTCTGGGACTGTCCCAACTTGAGAAAAAGCTGTGTCAGCATTTTCAACGCATTGAAATTAAAGGGAAAAGAAGTCGGAAAGTGCCGTGGTTCTTTTGACTCCTGAAATGATTGCTTCGATGGAGGTGCTGGGAGAACAGAAGGGCCTGTTCCATCTCTGACCATAACCCATACTTCTTTTCCCGCCCGGGCGCAGACACCCACATCAGGGGATCAGACTCCCTACGCCAGGTAGCCAAAGAATGTGGTGCGGTGCATCCAGAGATGCTATCCTCAACCAAACTTAGAAAGCACATAGCTACTATGTCTACAGTTCTCAATATGAAAGAGAATGAGATGGACATACTTGCCAACTTCCTCGGCCATGACATTCGCATCCACAGGCAATATTACAGACTACCAGAGGGGACACTGGAGCTGGCCAAAATCAGCAAAGTGTTGATGGCCATGGAGCAGGGAAGAGTGACGGAATTCGAAGGAAAGAGCCTCGACCAGATACAAATTGAGCCTGAAGGTAATTCTTGATATTATTAAAATATGTATGATTTTTTTCCCCTAAAGGCCACTTGTATTTTTATTTTCTGTGCGACAGGGAGAGCAGTAGAGATCCTCTCACAAACGGACGGCTAAAAGAAACTTCAAGCGGAGAACCTTCAACCATTCATCCAGATGCACCCCATGGTAGTGGCAGTGCCCCTTCTGGTAAGTGTACCAGGTGGGGGATTACAGCCAGGCTGCTTGGTCCTCACCCTGGGAGTGTATATTGCTAATATATTTTTATTTCTCTCCCTAGAACGTGTAAGAAAGCCATGGTCTGCATCTGAGGTGAAGGCTGTGGAGAAGACCATGACACCTTTCATACAGACTGGAAAGGTCCCTGGGAAGTCTCACTGCCTGGCCTGCATTAATGCCTCACCAGATGACCTTAGACATCGGACATGGAGTGGCATTAAATTCTATGTCAAAAATAGAATCACTGCAATTCGAAAACAAAATCTAAAATAAAATTCCTTTAAAATAGTTGTTTGGTTTCTATTGACTGTTTTGTATTACTTAAAAAGTCCCAGTAAAAAAAGATTATGTCTATGGGTCCCATTCTGAACGGCCCTGTCAAAGGGACCCACCAGGTAACAAAAACGTGTATGTGTGTGTGTGTGTGTGTGTGAGAGAGAGAGAGTATGTGTGTGTGTGTGTGAGAGAGAGAGAGAGAGTGTGTGTGTGTGTGTGTGTGTGTGAGAGAGATGTGTGTGTGTGTGTGTGTGAGAGAGAGAGGAGATTGTGTGTGTGTGTGTGTGAGAGAGAGAGGATTGTGTGTGTGTGTGTGTGAGAGAGATTGTGTGTTGAGTGTGAGAGGAGATGTGTGTGTGTGTGTGATGAGAGAGAGATTGTGTGATGTGTGTGTGAGTGTGAGAGAGAGAGGATTGGTGTGTGTGTGTGTGAGAGAGAGAGAGAGGATTTGTGTGTGTGTGTGAGAGAGAGAGAGGATTGTGTGTGTGGTGAGAGAGAGAGAGAGGATTGTGTGTGTGTGTGAGAGAGAGAGGATTGATTGTGTGTGTGTGTGTGTAGAGTGTGAGGATGTGTGTGTGTGTGAGAGAGAGAGGATTGTGTTGTGTGTGTGTGTGAGAGAGAGAGAGAGGATTGTGTGTGTGTGTGAGAGAGAGGATTGTGTGTGTGAGAGAGAGAGAGAGAGAGGATTGTGTGTGTGTGTTTGTGTTTGTGTGAGAGAGAGAGGATTGTGTGTGTGTGTGTGAGAGAGAGAGAGGATGTGTGTGTTGAGAGAGAGAGGATTGTGTGTGTGTGTGAGAGAGAGAGAGGATTGTGTGTTGTGTGGGTGTGGTGTGTTGAGAGAGAGAGAGAGGATTGTGTGTGTGTGTGTGTGAGAGAGAGAGAGGATTGTGTGTGTGTAGTGTGAAGTGAGAGAGAGAGGATTGTGTGCGTTGTGTGTGTGAGAGAGAGAGAGGAGTGTGTGAGTGTGTGATTGTGTGTGTGAGAGAGAGAGGATTGTGTGTGTGTGTGGTGAGAGAGAGAGGATTGTGTGTGTGTGTGTGAGAGAGAGAGAGGATTGTGTGTGTGTGTGTGAGAGAGAGAGAGGATTGTGTGTTTGAGTGAGAGAAAGTGGATTGTGTGTGGGGAGCTGAGAGAGGGATTGTGTGTGTGTGTGTGAGAGAGAGAGGAGCTTGTTGTGTGTGTGTAGAGTGAGAGAGAGAGAGAGGATTGGTGTGTGTGTGTGAGAGAGGATTGTGTGTGTGTGAGGAGAGAGAGAGAGAGAGGATTGTGTGTGTGTGTGTGTGAGAGAGAGAGAGGATTGTGTGGGTTTGTCGTGTGTGTGAGAGAGAGAGGATTTTGTGTGTGTGTGTGAGAGAGAGGATTGTGTGTGTGATGTATGTGTGTTTGAAAGAGAGGATAAATGTGTGTCAGATAGAGAATGTATGTGTGTGTGTGTGTGAGAGAGAGGGTGTGTGTGTGTGTGAGAGAGAGGGTGTGTGTGTGTGTGTGTGTGAGAGAGAGGGTGTGTGTGTGTGTGTGTGTGAGAGAGAGGGTGTGTGTGTGTGTGTGAGAGAGAGGATTGTGTGTGTGTATGTGTGTGAGAGAGAGAGGGTGTGTGTCTGTGTGTGAGAGAGAGGATGTGTGTGAACTTTACATTAATTGAATGTTAAAAAAAAGCATTCTGATACTGAATCTGAGGAGTCCCCAAGAAGAACAGCCACTGCCCTAATGAGGACCTTAACAAACCAAACCAAACCAAACCAAACCAGACTAACCCCTGGATGTTCTCTCTTTTATCTAAACTCCACATATTTGCAGCGCAGTGAGACGCAGCATCTCCCTCTGAGAGCAGGAGGCGTGTCCACATGTGTCTGATCTGCTATTGTCTGAGCCCTAACCCACCATTACAGACCCACATGGTCCTGATAGGCCCCATGGTACTCAGACTGTGTGAAGTCTGCAGTCTATGATCTTTCTGCTGCTTGTGGCTCCTTTTGCCTCTGAGTAAAACCCAAGTGATTCTTTGCAGCCAGACATGACCTACGTCTGTGTCCGGTCAGACCCCTCTCTCCTCGCTCACTTCCCTCGGCGGCTCAATTTAGACAATCTTCCTCATTTTTACACATTTCAGCCAAAACCGACCTCTCACAAAACGATGACTTCAGATCCTGTTTGCGTATTTGCTTTTTACAGTTTTACTCAAAGGGCTGCTTCCTATATTTTTTCTATTGTGTAGTTGTAGTTTTCAAGGAAGACAAAAGCTGTTGCTCTCTGTTCAATACAGAGACTCCAGGGCCGTCCCCAGCTTTTTAGGGGGTCTGAGAATTATTGTTTCCTTATAGGGGCCCCCGTCTGTTTCAAACTGTCTATCAATTAATCTATCTACCAGTCTGTACCATTGGCCCCTCCCTCCACCAACCATCCACACACACACCAGACTCATTCTAATGTGGGTGAAGTGTCTTGCCTCAGGACACAGCGACAGTTTGGCACTTTACAGCTGCATCCGCCCCACTGTGGCACCTGATGTTCCCAGCGGTCTCCCATCACAGTGCTGACCGAGCATTGCCCACCTTAGCTTCAGAGGTCTTTTTCTTGAAAGTAGGAAAAGATAAAATATGAAAACAGCCAAATTGGGTCTGATAAATGACTCCCAACATTCTTCATTTTACAAACAAAAATAGTATAATTAATGGCTACAATCTACTATTGGGGGCCCTACTGTGGCTTGGGGCCCTATGCTACTCCTTATTGGTTTAGGACCGGCCCTGCTTTAGTGCTTATGAACCACTGAGCCATCTTTATAGTGTGTTAAAGGAAATGTTAAACCCTCCCATGTGTGGTTTTGGTGTCATTTGAGGTTGTGTGTCTGTGTGTATGCGTGTGTTTGTGTGTGTGTGTGTGAGCAGCAGTTGTGATGTCAGCAGTTGTGATACAG